AGATCAGCCTTCCACCCAACTTGGCAAAGCTAGCATTTTACCTTTACATTTTTTTTATCACAAAGTTGTCTGCAAACTTATTGAGGCTGGACTTGATCACCTCATGCAGATCACTGATAAAGGTATTGAACGGAACCAGCCCTAACAGTGGGCGCTGGGGAACATCACTTGGGACCAGGTTGGTGAATGCTACCATTCACCATCACTGTTTGGGTCTGGCCATGCAGCCAGTTTTTTATCTAGCAAAGAGGACACCTGTCCAAACCATGATAGCCAATTTCTCCAGGAGAAATGTTTTCTGTACTCACTGAGGTGACGTTCTAATAACCACTTTATTTGGAATAGATGACTCTTGTCCCAGCCTGGTGAGTCTATCCTCTGTTCTTTGGCTTACATCCAGTGCTGTATGCCAGTTCAACCTGAATATTTTTGCTGCCTCCTTTTGTAAGGGTTCCACATTCATTTTCTCATACTAGCATTAATGTCAAGAAGCTAACATTAACATGCTAATGCTACCTGCATTTTGGTAGTGAGACATATCTTAAGAAGTAAATACTTCCATATATGACCAAACTACAATTGTCCCCATCACATAAAGCAAGTGACCCCATTTTGTTCATCTGGCAGATGCACTTCTGGTCAGGGAATATGGAAAAGAGTCAGAGGAAACCCAATGTATCTTTTTAAGAGACCATGTAGCCCAAGCAACTGAGCTTGCTGTCACCTGTACTAGAACATTTATGTACTTCCTCTCCCTTATGTAGACTGGTCCCTGGCCCAGGAGAAGGTGGTCTTTCATTTTATTACTATTGTTTTATATGAAAATACATCAATATCTTCATTTATTGCTTTTACTCTATAGTTTCAGACCAGAATCAACAACCAAAAGAAAGACTAACTTTGGGAGTCCCCTGTCACTCCTTATTAGGCTGGATATTATCTTGTTAAAAATCAACACTAGAACTTTCCGGAGATGATGAAACAGACTAAAGATTTGTATCTCCATTCAGGCTGGAAGGCCAAAAAACTGCCAGGAGGTAAACTTGGTACCATACACAAACTCTTTCTGAGGGTCAGATAGGATTTTTCATTTTATGGAAAAGCTAGTATTTTTTCCACACATTCTTTCTTATCACAAGTTCCTGGGGATAAATCTGTGAGGCCTAAAAGAAAACAAAGCAAAGAAAAAATTATATTTATATCAAGTGGATGCTGACAGTCTGAATCAAAGGCTCAGTGCTTTATAATCAAGGTTTTGGAAAAACAAGAATAAGACAACCCTGAGGCTTTGGCATTGAGTTCAAGAACACAGTTAGGAGTCATTGCACCTCCAAGAACTGGGAGAACTGAAATGGAAACAAAGCCCTCTCAGAAAACAAGGGAATAAATTAATTCATTTAGCACTGCCAGCAATTATACAATGAGAATGCATTTTAGCTAGGAATATGTTAGGCAATGGCCACAGCTGGGCATGCTTCTAGCTGAAGTTGTGCTCCAAAAACCACTGAATGCGATGGAACTCTCCATTTACTTTAGCAAGCTTTTAATCAAACCCAAGTTAGTAAATCAGACATCAAGATTTAGAGACAACTGAGGAAGTTTGCAAGACAGTAACTTAAACTGCACAAGGTCAGAGGATCTGGAAAAAAACCAAGTGTCAGTGGACGGACTAATTAGAGGACATGAAAACTCACTTTCAAACGTCCTTTAGTTAGACTCAGGAATTTCATTATCTTCTGTGATAACAGGATTCAGAAAGCACAAGGCAGTGATCTGAATCAATTCCTAGCCCAAGTACTGATTTTCTCTGAGTTTTTTTAAATGTTTGTCTTTCTGCTCAGCAACACCGCAAGGGCTATTAGTAGTCTTTCTTTTCCTTTGCTTTTAATGGCATGATACTATCAAACTGCTAAATGTTGGGTCTCTTGGGTTTCTAGCTAGTCTAGGGTTGCTAGCATCAGGACGTCTAGCATCCAGGCTCGAACAAAATGCCAAAGATTAATTCCAGAATCAACTAAGGCATGTTTCCTACAGATACACAACTCACTCTCCAAGTTCTGGTTCTTCAAAGCATAAATTGAGACAAACAAAACTGTTTTCTTTGTTTGACCTTTATTAGTAAAATTTGTGTGGCATATGAAACATCATGCTAATAAGTTTGTAAAATGTTTTGTATAAAATATATCCAATTCCAGTTAAGTTTCCACAGGTCTAACAAAAAAGAAGCAATTTTAATGTTTGTAAGATAACATTTGCCTTCAACTAATTTTATTTGCTTGGTGTTTCTGGAAAACAAGACCAACAAAGCATATTGTAGTCTGACAGTAATACAGTAAGCCACTAAAATCAAGAATAAGTTAAGATCCAGAGCCAATGTGATCTGAACATCACTAGTCTTACTAAAACAAAAAAGTAAACCTACCAACCAAAATATAAAAAAGTTTCAGGCTGTCTGTGATAGTATGTCTAAATCAACTTAGTTGTGTAAGAAAGAAAAACATTAATATCAGTATGAAGAATTTGTTGTAAATAAGAATTTTCCTTCAATAAATTATATAAGATTAAGGTGTCTTCTATAAGTGAAATCAATGAACACTGGGCCTGTCTAGAGAAAATATGTTTTGTAAATGAAGAAGACGTATTTGAAGTGAGGATATCAGAGAGTAAATCTTAAATGACCAAGTAGAGACTGTGAATAAGGAAATTTAAAATATCTGATTTAATGATTCAAGGCCCCTGTATTCATAACCACAGAATCATAGAACAGTTTGGGCTGGAAGGGACCCTAAAGATATTCTAGTTCCAACCTTCCTGCCTTGGGCAGGGACATTTTCTACTAGAGCAGGTTGCTCAAAGCCCCAGCCATCCTGGCCTTGAACACTCTGAGGGAGAGGGCATCCACAACTTCTCTGGGGAACCTGTTCTAGTGTCTCACTACCCTCACAGTAAAGAATTTCTTCCAAAGAGCTAATCTAAATTTACCCTCTTTCAGTTTGAAGCCATTACCCCTCGTCCTATTGCTACACTTCCTGATACTAGAAGCCCCCTTCAGGTACTGGAAAGTCACTTTAAGGTCTCTCCAGAGCATTCTCTTCTCCAGGCTGAACAGCACCAACTCTCTCAGTCTGTCCTCATAGCAGAGGTGCTCCAGACCCCTGGTCTTCTTCATGGCCCTCCTCTGGACTCACTTCAACAGGTCTATGTCCTTCTTATGTTGGGGGTCGCAGAGCTGAACTCAGTACTCCAGATGGGGTATCACCAGAGCAAAACAGATCCGCAGAAACACCTCCCCTGACCTGCAAGCCATACTTCTTTTGATTCTGTCCAGGATGCGACTGGGTTTCTGGACTGTGAGCACACATCACTGGCTCATATTCATTTTTTCATCCACCAACACCACCAAATCCTGCCTTGTTGAACTTCATGGGGTTTGCATGGGCCCAGCTCTCAAGCCTGTCCAGGTCCCTCTGGATAGCATCTCTTCCCTCCAGCATTTCAACCACACCACGCAGCTTGGTGCCATCTGCAAACTTGCTGAGTGTGCACTTGATCTCACTGTCCAGGTCATGATAAAAATGTTACAACAGCACTAGTCTCCATACTGATCCCTGAGGAAGGCGACTCTTCACTGATCTCGACTCAGACAACTCTCTGAGTGCAACCATACAGGCAACTCCTTATCCACCAAGTGGTCCATCTGTGAAATCCATGTCTCTCCAATTTAGAGACAAGGATGTTGTGTGGGAAAATGTTAAATGCTTCGCACAAGTCCAGGTAGATGATGTCAGATGCTCTTCCCTTATCCAGCAGTGCTGTAGTCCCATCATGGAAAACCACCAAATTTTCAGGCATTTCACCTTAGTGAAGCAAATCACGTCCTTAGTTTCAGTGTGCCTCATCATAGTTTCCAGGATGATTCACTCTGTGATCTTGCCAGGCACAAAGGTGAGACTGACTGGCCTTTAGTTCCCTAGGTCTTTTTTTTTCCCTTTATAAAAATAGGGGTTATAGAAACAGATTAATGGTGTCCTAGAGACAAATCATGTTGAACTCTCTTTAGAAAGAAGTCTGTCGTCCAGGAGCGGTCATAGTACTGTAAGGTACTGCAGACCTGACTTAATTGACAAGAAAAGCACGATACCTAGTGCCATTTGACATTATTAGATGGTATATTTCATTGAAGAGTTGGAGGAATGATGAAAAAGCTCAGAGGAATAATTATATATTGTACAGAATACTGGTAGTGTAAAAGTAATCACAGAATTAAGTAGGAATGGATAATAAAGAAAATACCATAAATAAGGAAAAGAGATAGCTTCATTTCTGCTGACATTGTAAAATCTACTTCTGGTGCAATCAAGAACATGATACTACAGTGTATGTCTATCATTTGCAGCACATTGTAGCTTTTCATATAATTTAAGGAAGTGATATTTCCCCTTCGAAAGGAAAACATACTGGAAAGAGTAGTTCCTACTAATATTGCCTTATAAGTACTCCCAGAAAATTAAAGGGGAAAAAAAGTACCTCTAAATACATGCCAGATAATACTCACAGCAGGTGGAAATACATTAAACCTTATCACGTACAGTGAGCTCCAAACAGAAGAAATATTCATATGTAATCCATTTTGCTTAAGCCTTGATTTTGAACATCAGAAAATACACATTTCTAGATTATCAGGACACCCCAAAGACTGCTTCCAGAATGCACCTGAGAATGTTATGCATATATTGATAAGAACAGTAAGAAATTTGAAGGGAAGGGGTAAAAAGTTGTGATGTGAAATAAATGCCGTTTGCTTACAACAAACCTTTGTTTGACCTCGCTAAAATTCAATTCAGCAAAATCTAATATAAAGGTGGTTGAAGTCAGAGAAACTCCCTGGGCTGAGGTCTACAGCTGAAGGCAGAAGCTGTACCACCTCCCACAGCCCCAGAATGCCACTGCCATTGGTCGGGGTCTAATACCACTGCCTCTGCTTTCCAAGTAGTTCCATCCCATTTGCGAGATTGGAAGCTAAAGGTAAGTTTTGGTACTTTCTCTTAGAACAGTTAATTTGATTTCTAATGTTGGAAGTATTTTTATAGTATCTGTTTTATTTTATCATGCATGATACTGATTCAAAGCCTTCAGAATGAGGAGACTATTTATTTTTCCCTGGAAAGGTTTTAGTTACTTCCTGTGAGAGGAGTACATAATCTTCATCAAAATATTTGATCTTACAGCTACTGCAGATGCCAACATCATTACAGTGTGTTCCAATATATTACACATGAAGAAAGTACAGCGACATGTAAACTCTGCAAGTTAGTGCAGAAATTATAGTCCTAGGAAAATATTTTTTTTCACAGCGAGTATCATTATATTTGATCTTTTTTGTCTATATATATAGAAAATGAAATACTTATCAAGCTCTATACCCTTACAACCCTTTTATTTCTAGGTAATGTGAATTAAAAATAATTCTGAATATTATCAATTTTTCTTTAGGTTTTTTTTTTTCAGAGGAAAAACTACACCAGATATGTTAGTATTGCAGTTTGTATTAATCGATAACGTTCTTTATAGATGAAGCACTTGGGATAAATGATCTGCAAAAGAAAAGAAAGACTGAAAACAGTCCTGTCAAAAATAGGCAGCAGAAAATATAGACAGACATAAAAAAGCAAGCTCCAGTAGACTTCCATTTCTTTATGAGATTGCTGGCATTTTTAATTTTAATTTATTTCTTTTTTCTTTTTTTTGTAAGGAAGCAGAATACTTTCAGTAATATTGGAGGCTAATAATGAAAGATGCAATTCAACTAAGTCTTCTCAAAAGACAAGCTCAAGTGACTCTAGCTACTCCCAGTAGCTGCTGAAAAGTCTTTTTGAATAAAGCAAATGAAGGAAAAATGAACATCTTGTGTTGCTCACCATCCCCAGAGGAATTTCATATCCCCATGCCTAAATCAGTTTCATAAAGACCTCTTTTCATGAAGCTAAAATTCAGCTTGATGCTCAGTACACACTTTCAAAAAAATCTCATGCATTTATTATATTTAATCTATTTTAAGTATCTACAGTTTAAAAATTAAATATTTAAGCATGTGTATTATGGCATCACATCAGGAGTGCAATTTGTTAGACATGGTCTGCTCATTTTCACTGTGCTTTTGGTGAAATTAGTGGCAGCTGTAGTTAAATCAAGGTCTAAATATGGACTGATGAACAGAGCCTTGTGCCAGAAGTGATAATAGGCAATATATCACAAGCAATATAAATGTATAAACACTAATCTTCTAGATTAGCATAAATTTACTACAATTTTACTAAAATATGGAACTTTTAAATGGATGCTAATTCAGTTTTACAATTCTATTCTCCAAGGAGAACAAGTGACTGTACTATGTCATCATTTCTGACTACTTGAAAAATGTTGTTGGTTGAATAACGAAGGAATGCTGAGTACTGTCACTATGCAGGACACAGCTTGCTTTTTATTTTGCTCCCCAGACCTTTGCAGAAGTGGTGGTCCATATGCCACACTATTCAACCAACTAAAATTTTATTCTGGTAAAACAACTAATGGGTGAAAAGCATTTGAATATCTTTATCCAGAGACAAAAGAAAGAGGTCCTAATGTTTTCTAATGTGATAGATTTTTATGGTGGAGGAGAAAGACAAAATTACATTGTTGTACGTTTCAGAAGATTATTTATTGTGATAGACACAAATAATATAATAATGTAGCTTTTAGCTAGTTTCTCAAGAGTTATTTTCTAATGCTATGGTGGAAATAGGTGAAGTTAGATGAAAGGGGAAAAAGCTAATATATATCTTCCTTTCACCTTTTCACGTAATTTCACTGAGGACAGTTTAGTCATATACCAATAAAATTCAATAGGTCTTTCCTCAATTATCTAAATGCTAGTATGGCCAAAGCATACTGCAGAATTCTCAGATCGGAGGACTCTTCATGAAGCAAAACAAAAGAAGCTATTGAGTCATCATGAATAAATATGAGTTCATGAATAAATATGAGTTATCCATCAGAAATATTGTTCAATACATACAAGTACTGTATTTGTGGGATTAATTTTTCACAGATTTCTTGCAAATACTAGATTACCAAGATTTTGTCCATTTTCTTCTCTTTCAGAAAAGAAAGCAGAATGCAGACTTTTGTAAATATTTTTCTGGGATGTTTTATCTTCGAGTCTATTGGAGCTGCGCCTATTGCTAATACCATAATTTATGATTCTGAGTTCTATGATATACCACTTGGAGAGTGGCCTCATCCATTTGTCTATGATGCAAATGAACAGTCCGACCAATTAGAGGTAATCAGAACTTCATTTATTCTATCTTTCTAAAGTTGACAAATACAGTGGCTCCTGATGAGTTTTTGTTGGCCATAGAAATATTTATGAGCCAAATCTACTCATGTGGTTGTTGCTGCCTTTGGTTGCTCAACAGTTTCCTGTGCTGATAACACAATGCAGCTCATTCACATTCTCCCTAATCTGCAAATCTGTCCAAAGTATTTACTTTTTCTTTTTTTTGGTGGTAATCTTTGAGAACAGATGAAAGCTACCATGGTTCCCTCAGATCTTCTTGCATTTCCACAAATTCTGTAGGAGATTACCCTTGTAATTTATCTGTCTGGAGGAGGCAGCTGAGATAGGACATCCAGTATTCCCCACTAAATGAGGTTGAAAAATGCTGTTTTCTGAGGTTATTTCTTACAGTAATTGATATATTTGATACAAGTATTTCAGGCTATAAATGATAGTGGCTTCTATTTATGTTAGGGAAGTGAGTAGAACAAAGTACAAAAGAAAGGGAAAGCACTTGAATTGAAAAACGGGAAAGTAAGAGAGATTACTGAAGAAAAACTGTTGAAATTCTATTATAGTAAGAGATAGTAAGGTGTGTTGCCTGTACAAGCAAGGAACTCCGTTTGTTGACTTAAATGCTTCCTTCCTCTACTACATTCCTGTATGTTTCTACATTACTAAAACACTACAATAATATTAATGTTACTCGGCTCGTTAGACATGAGCGTAACTTCCTTGAAGTTGGTATATATACACTGTATGACTCAGGACTGAGTGTGATACAAGTTGAGGGAAAAAAATAGCATTTAAATAATAATATGGAGTTTTCACTATTACTTGTAATCTTTTTGTAGTTTTTCACATAACAGTTCATATTTCATGAAAATATGTTCCTTTGAGTGATTCATGATTGCAGCAGGAGGGACAAGAACTAGCCTTTCATCAAGGTGAGATCAAAACTGGATAGCAGCCTTGAAACTGGAGGACAGAGACAATTTAAGAATAAATATATCCCCAAACTAGGAAACTTAAAATATAAAAATAATCTCAAAGTTTGCACTAATATCAGAAGTTTACCATTTGAAGAAAAGAAATTTTCTCTTCAAAGGATTGAGAACTTTGCTCTAAAGAAACTACTTTGCTTTTGGCATGCTTCCCTGTATCATGCAGAATCAAAGCTCTTTATGTACCCATGTGTTTGAGTTTTCTTCCCTGACAAATCACCTCTACGTCTAGTCACTGGATACTTGTGCTCTCTCTCTTTCACATTTACTAATGAGTCACAGTTTCTGTCTCTTTTTGCTCTTAAAAATGAAGCCTTCATCAGTCCTACAAAAAAGGCTTCCTTCCCAGAAATAGGAGAGGGTATTTTGTATGTGCCTCTCCACAGAGATTTCATTCAAACAATAGATTTCTTAGTAATGTAGCAAATGGTAGGTGGGACTCTCATGTGCTGTGGTATCTCTTTGAGGTCCTGTGACACTGAAGAATGGGATGGCCCCTTTCCAAGTTTCTGAGTGAAGTATAGAGGCAAGCAAAGGCTCCCATGGTTCATTTCCAGTTGAAAGAAAATTCTGGATGCTCACTATTGCACCTGACAAGAAAAGATATACAACAGGTCTTATCACAGGTTGCTTTCTTTAGAGAAGCACAGAATAGGCAGCGTCCAAAAATTCTTTTCATTTTGTCTTGACAATTTCTTTTCCAGAGTAGGATTGTCTCCTATTACTGAGCTCTTCAGACAGCCTTCTTAAAATTCATTCAGTGAAGAAAATACATCGTAGCAGTTGGAAGGAATGTTACTTTGCATATGGATGGACTTCTCCAAGAGAGCCTTTTTTTCCTAGAGGTTTAGCCAAAATAATTTTTGCTTACATTCCTCTTACCATGTACCACCCAAAAGAAATGTAAGCATTCACAACTCCCCTAAACCCAGGAGAGCTCAGTGGTCAGTGCCATAGAAATCAAGCAGCTTTTACAGACATGCATGACGGTCTTTTGGACACTAAATATTATTGATGTCACTGGATTTTTAAACAGAATATATTTTTCTTGATCGTGGTTTTGACTTTCCTCCCTACAAGCCTGTTATCACCAATATTTGAACTACACAAGTAGCTCTATGTGTAAAATCCAATATTTATGCAAGGTCCCAGGTTAGTTTTTATTATGCATAGCTTAAATGATGAGCAATACCATAGAACCCGAAGCAAACAGCAGATCTTCATTAGATCTAGCCTGAGTACAGTAACTCTTTAGGGCTTGATTTAAGGCCTGCATTTCCTTTTAGAGAATTTCGGGTCATGTCTTCAGTCTTCTGAAATAGTGGAGAAAAAATGAAATAGCATTTTTTGGTTTTGCTGTCTTCAATTTAAGATTTTAATATTCAATTATATGCAAATATAAATCATTGTTTTAACATGTATTTAGACTCACTGGAGAACTGCAGAATTTTCCAAGGTTGTGCGTCCAACTGATTTTCAGCAGGTCCAAGAGACTGACTGGTTCTAGGACTTCAGCTACATTTTGTATGGTGCTCCTGTTGATTTCAATGGGAATTAGGCATCTCAACACTTCTCAGGAAGTAGGGCCTCAGTACATATGGGATTACTTCAGAAGATAAATGCCTTAATAACGAAGTCCACCCCCTCCACACTCCCTGACTCCTTTCTCTTAGGTTTTATTGCTGACCAGATGCCATATGGTATGGAATATCCCTTTTGTCAGCTTGGGTCAACTGTTCTGGCCATGTGCCCTCCCAACTTCTTGCCCATCTTCAGCCTACCACCCTTGAGGTGGGTAGGGTCTTGGGAATGACAGCCTTGGTGTGTGAGCACTGCCCAACAGTAGCCTCAACGCTGGTGTGTTATCAACTCCATTCTAGCTACAAATACAAAGCACAGCACTATAAGGGCTGCCACGGGGAAAGTTAACTCCATCACAGCCAAACTTGATACACTTATCTTCCTCAAATAACTTTAGACGGAACCTAGGTACCTGTCTCAGGTATAGCACCAAAATAAAGTTAATCAAGAGTGATTGAGTCAAAGTTCATGACTTCTTTTCCACTTTTCCACTTTTCCACTTTTCCACTTTTCCACTTTTCATAGAATCATAGAATCACAGAATGGCCTAGGCTGGAAGGGACCTTAGAGATCATCTAATCCAACCTCCCTGTCATGGGCAGGGATGCCTCTCAGCTGGATCAGGCTACTCAAGGCTCCGTCCAACTTCGCCTTGATGCTCTGGAAGTATTTTTCCTTCTAAAATAACATTTTATATATATATTGGCTGTTGACATTTTTCCACTTGAAATCCATGTATTTTTCTCATAGACTTCTCATAGATTTTAAAGTATCTTTAGAGTTTGGAAAACTTGCTTAATGCAAAGCAGAGGTTATCTAGTGTTGTCTGCTATCATCATCAGATCTGTTTCATTTCTTGATTTTTTTTAACTGCATTCTATATATGTACATGGAACACTTTTTAATGCAAAGATGTTGCATAGGAAAAGTATTTGTGGTTGTGAATTACTCAGGAGAATTGTATTGAATCCTCAATATGGTCTATGTATTATGATACATTAGATGGGTCAAACCTGGACTAGAAAATCTGTGGGTTCTAAGTTTCCAGGTTAGTGAGACATGGAAGACTTAGATGAAGTTTTGCATCTAACCCTAAGTAATTATCACTCAGAAATAAAATGTGTATAGAGACGTTAGCTAGAACAGTATCAGCTCTTACACAGATAATAGTAAAAAAGGCAGTGTAAAAGAAAAACCTATTACTAAGGAAGAAATTCAATGATGGAGAAAGAGATTGCAAAGGAATGTCACTGTAAGGTAGTGTACAAGCTTTGTGTTGGATTTATCTTCTGAAACTGACAGTTATAACCATATACACATGAGCTGCTCTATCACCCCTTTTCTTCACAGTAAGTTCCTTTATTATTTTCAATGAATATTTATATCATGATAGGTTCCAGAGGCCCCAGTCAAGACTGGGTCTTCATTGTCCCTGCTGCTCTGCAAATATATACAAAGACAGATTTCCTTCTTTAAAATGGATACAATAAAGCCAGACTGCCAAAGGCATCCTTGTGTAAGCTTCTTGCTGGTAAAGCAGAATGCTCAGAGTTTTTCTCTCTCTGAAACTAGACCTTTGAATAGTGTGTGAGAAAAACAAATTGTGGAGAGAGATTCAGCTACCAATGTCCACTAAAATCATACTGCAAACTTTTAATTACAGTACCTGTTAAACATAACCAGTCCAGTCTTCAGGTAGGAAAAGCTAAGCCAGAAAAATAAGAAGTGAAAACACAGGGACACCACAAAAATATTTTCATCAACAAGATAGGTAGGTGAGGTCATCAGTCAGTGAGGGTGAGAAGAAACGGAGTTGTCCCAGCACTGAATAAGCAGCAAAACAAGGGATCTGAATACAGGTTGGTCCAGGTCCATGTACACAGAAGAGGTGAGCTGAAAAGTATGATTCACAAAATAATGAGAATCAACCACTGTGAAAGCCCAATATTTGATCCTGCATTAGCTTGTTGAATTTCAGTCAAACCGAGAACAGGATATTCGTGTGTCTGAGCAAGCTCAGAACTTGCGTGATACACACAGAGTCACTTATATCTATGTGCACATACACACCAAGCCTCTCTGTTGCTGCCAAAACACACATCAAGATGGGTCTTACTTGTGCAAGAACTCCCTCTTGCCCTTCCACAGACCTGTGAGGCTTACACTGCTCTTTCTGTGTTTGTGGCAGGTATCTGACTAAATAAGAGACTTAAATCTGGACATGCAATGATTTTTCACCACACATCATATATACTTTTAAAAAACCTTTTGAATTGGTACAAGTAATGTAGAAGTCAGATAACTACATAGGTGAGAAGAGAATTAATTTTACCATTTGAAGTTTTATCTCAAAAAGTAACATTTCTACTTTTTCAGAAAGGCTTTAGAATACTTAAAAGAAAGCTGTTACCTCCACTT